TTAATTCTTCGAACTCGCGCGAGAGTAATTTACACGGGGGAGGAGAGACCACGATCAAAGGAGAGCTTAAGGTAGCCCGGTGGGGAAAGTTGTATGTCACTGTCTGGATGGAATGAGCCCCACTGATTTGAATGGAATCCACTCGCGTTTGTTTGTCCCCGGGGCGGAGAAGACGGCGCGGATTCCGGAAGCAGAGTGGCCGAACTTACGGATTGATGTATCCCTAAATAAAGCGAGCGCGACTCGTTCGGTTGTGCTGTCGATTGCAGTCGGTAGCCTGTGTCTAGAGTCTACATTGAACTATCTGTTGTTCTTGGAATCCGGCCAATCGCCGTGGAAAAAGTAGAGGCTGAGATTGGCGCTATGCAGCCAATGTCTCTAATGTGCAAAATAATCGCGGCTGGACAACAATTTTCTCGGCAACAATTTTCTCGATACGAAGAGAGAGGAAACGTAACGAGGAGAAGTGATCTCCTCTGATAGAAAGTTCGTTGTTGGTATGTTTTTTTCCTTCTGTCTCGATGTGATTCACTACGTCAGACTGAAATATTGACCTGGAAAATGGATAACTTCTATTGAAGGTGGCACTAGGCCAAAGATAATAATCTTAAACGGACGGTGCCATCTTGTGTGGCATCTTTGTTTGCGATTGCACGTAAACGCGCGAACAGTATCGTGGTCTACGACTATTTATTGGACAAAGTTTATTTGCACAGCGGACGTTGCAACTTAAAATCATACGCGCCGACACTGTTCCCCAGACGGAGTTGCACGACCGCTGTGGCCCCAGTTTGTTTGAACTGGCAAAATTATTGAACTTTCAGGTCGCTAACTGTTGCGACGGTCGAGAACGATAAAAACGTCTGAATGTCGCCGATAATCCCCTCTGACTGTCAGAACTTTGCAGCTTATCCAGTCAAATTCTGCCAAGTTCTTCCATAGACTTTCCATCGATTAGCATCCATCAATAAATGGAGATGGAACTATTATTCAACGAAAGATACACAGAGATATAAACGATGGGGTAATATTTGACCATTCGATATTTCGATAATCTCCGAAAAAAAATATGTTCAAGATATCAAGGGTTAAAAATATCGGAATTGAAGCAATATGTAAGCAACGGAATGAACTCTGTAATTAGTTAACTGTCCGCAATCATTCTAATTGTTACTCATGAATTTCAGCAAATTACCGTTTGATTTCACCTTAGAAGTTCGAAGTAGAAAACGACATTTCCTATGGAGTGGCCTGATGCGAAATTTAATTATAATACACGAATTCCGTTGGAACGAGATATAAAAAGTCTGCAATATCATCGATTTAGGAATAAAATCGCCGTTTAAAAGTAAGAAGAGAATATGGACCAATATCTTACGACGTACAAGAAAGATTATCCGTCGCCTGTGACGAGATACAAGCATCGGATAGTTTTGCTCAGAGAATATGATTCTTGTAAATGTCATGACCGTCCACGGGAGGTGAAGCCCCTTGCACGATGCGGTGACGATTACGATTGGAGTCGCACGGGTCCGATGGGAAGACTTCTGGACCCGAAACTTTATCCTGCAAAAACTGGACCGCATCCAGAAACTGAAGCCACGAGATTCGATCAACCGGCCACGTACATGAGAAAAGTAAGGCAATATAAAATAAAACACCTTGTGATTATACTACGTTGAGGTGTTCGTTTCAGTTGGAAGAGAAATACCCTAATTTGTATGGAATTCTACAGAGTACTCCTATCGACGAGGTGATTAAACGCGTTGACGAGGATCGACTGAAGACAACGTATCAGTTGGATTATTCTGAGAAAGGTGAATTTCAATCACGGTTAGCCGATAGAGCGGAAAATGTAGAAAATTTAGGAAAGATAGTAACGAATCAATTGACGTGGCATTTATTTGTGAAATAAGCCTGTAATTTGACACACGTCTATATCCTCTGAATTTTATTTTATTTACTTGCCAATACACTATTGATTTGTATAATACGATATAAAACTTTTGAAGAATTCGCGTTAAATCGCAAAGGAAGTTCTATTATCTAGATCTGTCGATTCGATGTTACAGCAGCCGCACTAATGGATAAACCATTTACGGAACCTTGCGTTACCAAACGAGAAGAAGTAAAAGACATAGATTGTCGACCCTCTACCAAAGCTAAGCTGTTGAAAGTAACCAGTCCAGTTGATAAAGACAAAACAGATAAGAAGAAAGTGACTAGAGCCGAAGACGAATTGCAGGAAACGCGACTTCTTCCATGGCGGTCGGAATACCAAGATACCGTTAGCAAATTAGGTCACTCTATTATGAAATATAAAATTCATCATTCACCAAGCACAATTACGCGCCAGCTACTTTGTAAAAATTAACTGTGTTCAATAAACACTATCCAATAGAAATGCGTGCTTCACAATAGTGAAAAAAAAAAAAA